ATGTTGATTTTAATATCAGTTTGGCCCATCAAGAGGGGTTCGATATGCATATACAATTCTAAAACGGGGAATGTATATATTTACCTCGGGTTAGGGCTATTTTTGATTGATTTTTGGCCATATTTTCTCCATTTGTATCCATCATCACACATTCCATTACTATTATTCTTCACCTTTAAAGTGTACTTATCCACCTTGTTCAAAGTACTTCTTTCCAACCGTGGAACCCTATACATCAATATAAACAAGGGACTCATGAGTACATATTATTAAAAGGCTATACTAAACTTAAGGCAAAGAGATGTGTTCTCCTGATTGAAAAAGATCTCTATCACTTACGTTGATTTGGAGATTTCCCGGACTGGGTGGGACAGGGGTTCAACCAAGACCAGAGCGTTTGCGATATCTTGGATTCGCGGACCGGAGTAAAGTGTTGATGTGACAAACTTGTTGGTAATGGAATCTTCATATGGCATGAGCCTATGATGTTGTTCTTGAGAAAGAAAGAATAGAGGTGGCTCATTAACAAAAATATCTTCAACGGCGTCGTTTCCACACCTTCTTGTCCACTGAGAACCTTTTTCTGCCATATGAGTATGGGAACAAGAAAACTTACACGAGCAGGTGGAGAGGGGGAGAGGGAGAGAGAGAGTCTTTGTTCTTTTAAGAGTAAAGTGTGTTCAATTTATATTGATTTTAGTTTTTTGAGGAGAGTTATCTTTTATTTTTTGTCAATAACTTTCATAGATTAACTCAAATGAGCTAACGTGGAGGGATATTGTTTACACTATACGAGTTATATATAATAGCAAAATTACTCATGTGGATTTCTTTGTTATATTTGAGTAATATGTCATATTATTGTTTCTAATAAATTATCTTACATTTAGTGTGTTGAATTTATATTAAGTTACCTCTTATCACTAAGTTTGTTCGGCACAACATTATTATAATCGTTAACAACATAAAAACACTATTATCATTGAGTTTTACTTATTCGAATGTCCACCATCTTTTCACACGGGTCCATTTACACTAGTTTAATTTAGAGTTAGTTTTGGAGGAATCCAAATAGTTTAGATATATAGAGTGATATGAAATGTATATATAATAGTATGGAAGACGAGCAATAAAATGGTTTTTCAAGATATTCAAACAACGGAACCGTTGGATTCTGTTAATTTTTGGCTTCTGTAAACAATTATTCTCATAATTTTGTTTATTTACCATTCAAATTCAACACTTTTGTTTCTGATTACTCCAATCATAAATAAAATATTTTTGTTGAGCTTCTAACTTGTTGCTTTAACGAAACTTTATCATACCCAAGAACTATTCTTCAGACATAATTAAAACATCGACCTCATTAGATATGGCATCCACATTTGGACGCGGTAACAATAAGTTTTCTAACTTCAGAGAGTGAGACACTATATATGGCTGCAAATTTTTAAGAGATCGTAAAACCCAGCTAGGATTCCATGATTGAAAATTAGGAGCATGCTGTATGTTCTACATTTCAAGACCACACGATAAGAATATCTAACAAAATATGGACGTTCTTTTCCATAGACACGAGCTAGGAGAATGTCTCTTCGCGATTGGATAAATTGGTTGATGCTCATACTTCATATGAAATCCGTTTGGATGCATTGTGATCGGCCAACTATCATGGTCCAAAATGAGAAATATTCTCCAAATTGGACTGAATTTTTCTGATATATATCGATAATACTAACACAAACCACTATTATACATGTGTTGTTATAAATATCTTTTCTTAAAAATATAAGAAAATAATGCATATTTTGTATGCATTGAACTTGCGACAGCCTATAACATTACCGGTAAATTTAGGGTCATCTTATCATAATTGTTTTTTTGTCTTTAGATGGTTTTGTAGTAATGTCCATATATTTCATGAATCAACCGTCGTGGATAACTTTGTAAGCTTATATCTTAGGCCCCATAACATTGATAATATCGAGTTATTTTTGGTTGCTATGTGGCTTTGACTTCCGAACAAAAAGACAAAACCATAATGTGACTAGCTAGTGGACAAACAAATTAAGGTTTGGGTTGACTTAGTGGGTTTAGGTTTTGTTGTCTTTTAGTCATTGAGGAATTGGTTGTGGATCTTAACCACGCTTGAAATGGATTTTTTTTTTTTAAATCATTTAACAAAGTCAACCGTTTAGTGTTTTACTATTTTGTTGTCTCGGTCATAGTTAATGTTAACGTTTATAGAGACTAGAGAGTTAACGTGTTGTCGATTCATTACCAGAACGGTTTTAAATTTATAGGGTAAATTAGCTAACTTTACAGTTACAAATATGTACGTAAAAAAAAAAATGTACGTAAATAACCAATGACAAAATTTTTATTGAAATATCGTTTTTTTTTTCTTTGCAAAATTTTGAATAAATTGTTTTGCAGATGAGCACAGAATCATGTCATTTTTATAAAATATTTTGCGTTAAAGTGACATGATCAAATAACATTTTTTTTTTTGTGGTGTCTAGGGAAAATGTCTTGTTTCTACCTAATTATGAAACAGGGATTTGCTAGAAACCCGTATCTCCGAAAATAACATGTTAAATCCTTGTTCTAATAAACGCTAGGCGCTAGTCGGGCGGCCGGGGTGGGCCTAGCGCCTAGCGGGATTACTCGGGGATTAAACGGGATTACTCGGGGATTAACTTTAGATACTTTTAATTTAGATTTATGTATATATATTAAAAAAAACGTACGTGTACAATGATTATAACGTGGTACAGTGGTCTGTCTCCTTCCTTTGACCTTGGGAACGAGGGTTCGATGCTCAATTTTGATATTTATCTCTTTTTTTTTTAAGAATCGCAAATTTACAAAATTGCCCCCTGTCCCTTCCTTTCTCCCTGCGACAAGCAAAACCCTAGTTTCTGCGTAACGCACGTCAGCTCTTTCACAATCCCATCGTTTCAATGTTTCCTTCAAGGTTTATCCCAACTTTTGATGATCTATTAGTTACCTATCGATTTCTAACTTAATCTCAGGCACACTTGCATTTTTTCTGAAACTCCGATTTGTTGGCCGATTTGGACAAATCGCAACGGTCCACCACCGCCGAGCGCCTCGCCGGCGACTAATCGGCCGCCTAGTCCGCGTTTTTGAACAAGGTGTTAAATTGTAAGAAAATTCCATTCTACACGATCGTAAGATTTTGTTTTGCCCGTTTTGATCATATCCATGAATTTTCTCTAACAAAGTGATGAGATCTCATAACATAAAAATTTCTTGAACTATGAAAATGTAATGCGTAATATAAGCAGATTATGTTATCGAAAACGATATTTAGCAATATTCCATTGAGTCTTTGGAACATGATTTGGGAGATAATCTTATCGGTCATATTACACAGGCTAATTGAACGGAACTCTGCAATTGATATAGGCAGGCCCATGCTATTGATAAAATCAAGTTTCTTTTTGTGGCTGTGTGGCTTTGACTTTCTAACGTAAAGACAAAAGTATAATGTGACTAGCTGGTGGACAAAAAAAGGTTTGGTTGACTTAGGGGGATTAAGTGTTGTTGTTGTCTGTGTGATTGAGGAATTGGTTGTAATGGAATTTTCTGCTCTAATCATTTAACAAAGTTAACCGTTTAGTGTTTTTCTATTTACATTTTGCACTGATAGTTAATGTTAACGGTATATGGAGAGTATCAGATGTTTTTGATCCATTTCATGAACGGGTTTTTGGATATGGAGTAATAATTTTACTATTTCCATTGTTAAAGTAAATACCCAAACTCTGATAAATTAAAAATTAAATGAATCACCAAACAAAAAAATTTAAGTAAACAGTTTTTTTTTTGGGCAAAGACCAAAATGTCTTTGGTAATAACGTATAGTTATGTTATTTTCTTAAATTTCATGTTGTAGATAAAATAACATACTTAAAGAACATGCCATTTTTTTTATTACACGTGTAATTTTGAAAAACAGATTTTAAAAATCTCGCTAAATAAATAAAATTAAATAACACAAAGTGAAAATCTTTCATCCAATTTTCTAATTGTTTTGTCTCCTTGTTTTATTTATTTTTCTCAAGGATTCAATTTCATAAGCTCTTACTTGATAAAGCCAAATTTTTTCATTTTTAATGATATTAACATTCATAGCAACAAACAAAAAAAACAAAGTCAAAATCATATGCCCTACACGGACAATGCCATGCAAGAGAAAATAAAGTTTGTATGGCGAGTTTGTAATGACTTTTTTGAAATTTAATATGCATGTGGTTATGTCCGTCCCTCACATTTCTTTCTTTGCAGTCATATCTTCTTTGGTTCTAGGTTTAGGTACGTATATATATGATATGGAATATCTGAGTGCATACGAGAGAACAAAAAAAACGAAATTCAGAACACAAGTGTCAATTGAACTTGTTAGACAGGGCATTGCATAGTTGTTTTGAATTTATTAAGTTTAAAAAGAATACTACGTTTTTCAAAGTTTATTTGTTTCAAAAAGAAATTGTCTCGGACTATCTAAAGCCCAATCACATAAGTCTAACCTTTGGTGCATATGTAGGAGTGGCAGGCATTCGATTGATTCGTGTCAAAATTTTCGCTTTTCTTTTTTTGATTTGAAAAACAAAAATGTACTCAATAAAACCGAATTATATATATATATATATAAAGTTTATTTTTGAAAAAAACTTCATATTAAACTAGGCTTCCCAATGGGCTTAAGCCATGAGTTTACAAGGGAGAACAGATACAAAACGGGAATTCAAAAATACAGGCCCAACAACAAAAATGGATCTTGCCCTGCTGAATACCTAAAGCAGAGACTTGGCATCAGATCGGCGAAAGCAAGTCCGACTGAAGGCTTTCGGACTTCAATCCCATCTCCAATCCGGCGACCCACACGACCCATCACAGAACTTCCGAATGCACAAGTCTCCGACTGAAGGCTCTCCGATGTCGTATCCCATGCCAAGCAATCCCGACATACTCAGACCTAACCCCATTTCCCTTCTCAGTCAAAATCTGAATTCACCGAACTAGAGTCTGCTGTGGTCTGATAAGTGGAAACCAATACGTGATGATTTGAGAAGTTGGAAGCTCAACCCAACAAACAAAAACCACTGCCCCACGCAAGCCAACATAAACCCCGAAGGATTTCGCCGTTAACCACCTATCCAGAAGCGAAACCCACCATCTTCCAGAGACTTCCGCCGCAGCGACGAGTTCCAGTTTGGTGGATGAGCTGCGCGAAGACACTAAGGCGAAATCACCGACGTCCTCAACCGTGTTTCAACCAATTCGTCCTCACGCCCACCTAACCGGAGCCACCGCTGCATCTGAAGGAAGAAGGTTCTCCAACTCCAACACCGGAATTGAAACTAGCTCACAGCTGAGCCCCTTGGAAACCCATGACCTGAAATTAAGATCAATCCCAGCCATAACTCGCCAAACAAAAAGATCTTACCAACCGGAGAAACAACCGCATCCACTGGAGGAGGAGAAAGTCACAGATCCGGCGAAAGTCACCAGATCCCGACCACACAAGCTCAATCGAAGAGAAGCTCATGCCTCCAAGCTCACCAAAGCCACCAACCACCGGAAAAAGACGACACCCGAG